GTGTATCAATTAAGCCGGAAAATAAAATCAATTTATTTATTTATTTAGTGGCCAATCGCATGTAAAATGCATATGAGGCTATACGCCTGGATTTGTGTGCTCCATTTATTATTTATTTGCACTCCACCGCGTATTTCGCCTCCATTTTCACCCAACCACCGGGCTTTCCCTGCAATTGTCCCTGCATTTCATTCTTCAGCACTTTAGTCCTGTTTGCACTGCGCCCACACCTAATTAATGCGAGTCCTTGTGCCGCTAGTGCAGGTTTTTCCATGGAAAAGCATGTAGGGAAAAAGCGGGTGGAAAGCGGGTGAAAATCGGGTGGAAATCGGGACAGCAGACAGACCGACGGAGCATTGGCTAAGGTAACCATTGAATAGATTGGAAAGGCGGGCATAAACTACAAGGTCTGCAATGATTAGGCGGTGGAAAGGGTAGTAAATTGGATGAAAAATTGATTCAAACGGTTGGCCAATTTAGAATAGCTTTATGGCAATGGTAGCCATTTGATAATTGGAGCACGATTTGAGCTAATTATGGTTTGTCAGTAGTGAAGCCATTTAGCTTGATGACATAACACTTGGCATATTTAATAGTTGGACCACTTAGTATAAACGCTTTTGAATCAAAATCTAGGCTTATAATTCAATTTTATGTTCACTCAAAAAACCCTAAGAAATGTATGATATTTGAGAAACAAGCTAAAAGTAAATAATCCTTTAAATCTGTTAATTAGGTTGTTACTTACAAAAAAAAAACAAGAAAGTCAATTGCTAATTACGTTTGCGTTTACGTTTCTTTCTACGATTCACGAAATCATCTAACTAAATCAACGTCGAAGCGAATCAAATCAGTTTGTATGTTTTTCCGTCCATTTCTGTTGCTGCGCTCAATTAGTTTTGTTAAAGCTTTCAATTTACACACAATTTTGACTGCCAGAAAGGTGGATGAGATGCGGGGAGGCGATGGTTGGAAATCCGAGGGCGTGGAAATCTGGGAGGTGGAAAGCTGCTGTCGTGGCAAGTCGCCAACATCTTGCAACGCCTGTGTTCTGTACGTCTGTACAACATAATTAAGTTTAATTGACAACCGCTGACTGTTTGATTGGCTTCACTTGTTTTTGTTTTTGTTTTTGTTGCCGTTATTGTTGTTTTTGCTCCTCGTTGTTTGTTGTTTTATTTTCCGTTATTGTTGGTGTACTTCTCCTTGACTGAGTGACTGCTTCCATTTGTGCCACTTGGCCAAACTCAACAATGACTACCGAGCACCCAGTCCGCCCACTCGACTTTTGCTCCAAGCCCCTCCCCTTGCTCCTCCCCCCGCCCTCATTATGTATATTATTTTCGCTCCAACATATATTCATCATATTAAGTACAATATGCAATTGTTGCTGTAGTCACACGGAGCGTATACTTAATGTGAAGGCAAGGGGATGCAAAAAGGGGGAGGAGTGGGGAGGGGGTAAAGGCAGCACTCAATAAATCATTCGGAATGGTCTCTGCTGCCAGTTAATCACACAAACAGTACCGACACAATACATTCCGTATCAGAACAATAAGACGAATGGGATGGGTAAAAGTTCACTACTTAAAACAATGATTCCCGTGAATTAAACCCCTTTAAAATGGCTTTCGTTTTATCACCAATATCAGGTATATTGCATATTTTAAATAAACAACTAATTATCTAGAATAAATTAGTAAGTACCAACAAATTCTAAGATGCATGAATGTTTCCTTAAGCTCGTTTAGGATTACTTTTTCTACACAAAATAAAACAAATCTTTCGTTACAATGAAAACGTTCAGATATTTACGATTAATTAAAAGTTTAGCCAAGAATTCCGACTTCCCTTTCGGTGTTAAACTATAAACTTTTGACAAAGTTGGAATCTTTGTGGTCACAGTTTAAAATTTTCACCCAGCCAAAAACTTCGGAGCGGTTGCCTCAATCCCAAAACTCGCACTTGTGTTTAATCAATTAAACTGGATAATCCGGCGATTCCTAATGGAAATCCACTAGATTTTCTGCTCGATATGTGGGGTCAGGTCACTCCACAGCCCCCTCCACATCCCCTTCCCATTTCGGTGGCCCATTCGTTGTCTTTTTCCCAGTGGAATCCACACGATTCAGAGGCGAGGCCATCCATGTCTGCTGATGAATAAACCGAACTCGTTGCGCTGACAGACGGAACATTGTTGAATGTGGCGCGCAGAAAACTTTGAAATGGATTAAATGACAGACGGATGGGTGGATGGAACGATGGATGGAGCAATGGATGGATGGTTGGATGGCTGGATGGATGGAAGGAAGGAAGGACTTGGGGCCAAGCCCACAGTTCAATGGACGATTTTCATTTTGCTTGCGGTAGACAAAAGTTTCTCCTTTATCAAAGTTGCGGCTTAAGGGCATCGGTGCGGGAATAATCCCGAGGGCTAAGGGGTAGTTATGGCACCAAGCTGCTATACATTACCGCTAACGAGGAATATCAACTGTTAAACTGCAGAAAGTGGCACAAAGCGATGAGTGGAGTGTTCAAGGACTGGGAAAAGGAAAACGCGAGTGTAAGCGGCAAATAAATCATAAACAGAGAGCAAATTCAAAAACCAAAGGATTTTGGAAAGGAAACAGTAGTTAAGAAAGGTGTAAACCAAATTGCAGAAAGTTGAAAAATGTAATAAAATAAAAATAAATAAAGTTCGTTCACTTAAAAATATATACAAACTTAAATACTTTTACTTATCTAATTTTTTTGATATCCCTTTTAAGCAAATTAATTAAAGGTTTTTATAAAAATATATGTTAAATTTATTTACTGTTTAAAAACCTTATACTAATAGACAATACTTCTTAAGCATTTCTTTAACAAACTGAAAAATCATTGCGTTAATATTTAGCATTAAGAACCAAACTTGCCGTAAATTAAAGCTAGCATCAAACGTCTGCTGTCTGGCCTTTTATTCTTTGCAAAGGCAATATACCCAACAATTTACGATTGTAATGAGTATAAAAACTTGTCTACAAGTTTCGTGTAGATTTTCATTAGCCACGGCAATGGCCAAAAACGAGGCAAATGATATCGAAATGAAAACAGACGGTGGACGGTGGGTGGATCAACCTGTTGCCCGAAAGTAATCGAAGTTCATTCCTTACTTTTCCTGCGGGTCACGAATAAATTCAGGCATTTAAGGTGCTCACGCGATTCGCCAGCAATAACAATAACAAAAGGAGACGACGTTGACGACAATGATGTGCGGCACCAACAACAACAAAAAAACAAAAAAAAAAAAAATACAAAAAAAAACAAAAACAAAATAAAATAAAACCCCAGACCACGGGGCGTATGCGTGTTACAGAAATAAAAATGGCTGCTACACACATACACACATATAGTGGCACTCACAGATACCGGAACACGTATGCATGTAAGTGTGTGTGCGTGTGTTTGCCATAGCTTCATTATGATGGCGTCGTTAGGTCTATTAAATTTCCCTTTGTTGCATTGCCCGCCGTCTTTTATATTGCTCCCCATAATTTTAGTTAGGTATAAAACAGTCGGATCGGGTCCTTGAACCTCACGCGAGTTGGATTTTGGTGCGGATTCAACGGCGACAGCTGATCTATATGTCGGCTAATTTTAGACGGTAGATAGTTTTATTGAAAGTTTTCTTTGTAGACAGTGTGATTTACAAGTTGGCAGGTAGAATATTTGATGAATATCCGTAAATAAAATGTAATATAGGGGTTACACAAAGTCAAACTGCTCTTTCAGGTTAAACAATTTGTTTTTCTTTTACAGACTCGATGAATATTGTAGGTATACAAATTATATTTACCTAAAAATATCATAGAAGTACTCATACAATTTACAAGAAACCTTTAAACACACAAAACTTTATATAAATGATAAGAAAAAACACATTTGTAAACAAATTCGTTTTTGAAACACAAAACTTGAACTCAACCAACCAAAGAGACAAAGTTGTTCTCTATAATTTAACCCAAAATGAAAGAAATGCAATTTAAAAAGAAAGCTGCAGAAAAGTTCGGATAAACAATGGAAGGCCACACGTTCGCAGTGCGATTGACAGTGGGGAAACTTTGTGCTCAAGCCACTTTCCCAAAAGCATTAGCCGCTGGAAAATCTCATTCGAGGTGCCAACCACATTGGCTAGTGTGTCCTGTGCCGTTGTCCTTTCGGCCTTTCGGTCTCAACTGCTTAACGGCTTATGTGCAAAGTCGCTAAAAACTTGAAAACTCGCGGCAATGCCATCTAAAATTAATGCGGCATGACCTTTTCAGCGAGCCAAACAACTTGTACGAAAAACTTTTCGCCAAAGACGTCTGGGGAAAGTGCGGCGGTGAAAGTACGGCGGGGAAAGTGGAGCACTGGCTGAAACAAATGGGGCACTACCTGAACTTGGACCCATTGATCTGATGGAAGAGGTTGGAGAAAGCTGGTCGTGGCCATTTAATGTGCGCATAATTGGCTTGTTGCATATTTTATCGCCTAATTGCCGCACATCGGTGGCAGGAATGGCCGAGTGGCATCCACATTATTCACCAGCCACCATTCTATTATTTAGAAAGTGTTTTTCTTAATTATGTTGCACTCACAAAAAAAATTTGAAAATCTTTTGAGATTATATATAAAAATTATTTCACCTTTTTTGTTTGAAACCAAATAACATTTTTCTGAGTTTAAATTTAAATTTGGGTAAATAATAATAAATCTCTAAGAATTGAAATAAATTAAAAAATAACTGAAAAATCATCCACGCTAATTTTGGTCTACAAAAATGAACTTTCTTTCATATGGTTTAATATAAAAATATTTTTCAGCTATTTTCTGTACACCCCTTTCCTCCCAGTGCAATATTTAATCAAAATATTTCTTCTCCTGGCTTTGGCCAAAACAGAAACAGAAAAAAAGGAATGGCGCCATCTTCTAACCAGTGGATTAATCGACTTTGGCGCCTCTCCTTCAAGCAATTAGCAAACTTAAGGCCACGCATTTATTTCACAATTATATAGATCATCAAACATAGAGTCGCGATGGAAAGTGTGTATAAGAACCAACCAATAAACTGAACTGAGAAGCAAACAATGCAACTGGAAAGTTTCCAAAAAGTGAGTACAAAAGCGCGTTTGCTTTTACAAACCAAAAGTTTTTCGGGGGTTTAGTGGAGTGTTTAAAACCTCGAGTGAAAGCAATGCTGATGGTGGCGGTGTTTTGGGGCGCAGAGTGGGGACGTCGATTCGCTGGCCTTTTTGATGGCCCGATTCCTGCGTAGCCGCGATGTTCTGTTCTCCACCGGTGTCCAATTGGGATCGGGCGGTGGCTCCCTGGAGCCAGTGGCCAAGAAGTGTTTGGGATGGACAGGATATGGAGGCACCTGCAGGCAATGCTGGCGAACGCTGGCGGTGCCCTTGGCAAGGATCTCCCTGATCAGCGGTCCGTCGAGGACCTGTCGCACCTCCGCCAAACAGGCTCGGATCCTCAGCAGGATGCAGACCTCCTTCCGTGTCCTCTGGGCCATCAGCTCGCCAAAATAGTGCGAGGCGTACGAGCACAGCGAGTCCACGCCCAAAAAATGGGCGGCCAGGATGAGCTCCACCAGCTGGCAGAGTTCGCTGCCCAGCAAACGCTCCTCCCAGGAGCTTTTGCACTTGACGTACCCATTGCATTGGCAACCATTTCCAAGGGGTTTCCCATCCGCTTTCCCCGCACTCTCAGTATGGTTTCCACACTTTCCCTCGCCTTTGTTCTCGATTCCGTTTGCAACACTTGAATTTGGCTTCCCACGTGTAAGGATTACTTTTTCCCGGTTTTCCTTATTCCTGCCGACTTCGATGCCGTCTCCACTATTTTCTCGCTTGCTGGTTTCAGTACTTTTGGCACTACATACAAACTGATCTTGATTGCGGCGAGTTTTTTTCGGTATCGTTTCGGACCTCATTGAACGCCTTTCTGCTAACACTAATTCTCGTATTGCTTGTTTTTGGGTCGAAATTGATTGTATTTGTGTTGTCTTTGATGTCACTTCCGCTTCCGTTTCCGATTTTTACACTTTTGTTGGTTTCTATGGGGTTTGTTGGAGTGATCGCTCTATGTGTTTCCTTATTCCCTCCACTTTCTGCACTGAGTTCGCTCTTCTGGCTTTCACTTCCGCTTCCGCTGGCAAAACTTTCGCCATTCACAACATCTCTAATTGGGCGTATGGCATTTAACTTGGTGTTGAGGCTCTCTTTATGGCCATACAATCTGGGTATTTTAGTAGATTCTTGACCAATTTCACAACTCTTCTTGCTCTCGATGATTCCGTTAATTTCGCTGCTGCAAAAACCCATTTCCTGTTTGTCCTCCTGTCCACCAAAATTGGCATTTCCGGTTCCGTTCTTCTGGTGCATCCACATGATAACTCGCAGCAAAGTCGTTGATCGAATGGCTCTCAATTCGATTGGCTGTTCGACATTTTGCCGGCGTCGCATTGTCGCCGAATGGCGGTACATCAGACGGCTGGGCACATTGATCAGCCGATGGTCGCTGCAGAGGAATCGCAGCAGGTGCATTTCCGGTTGCCGCTTGCCGGAAACCAATTTGAGGAGACTGCGCGGCGAGACCAACTCCTCCTCACTGGAATCATCCAGATCCAGATCGCGATCCTCGACGGTGTAGAACTGCTCCTCAATTGATTTCGCTTGCGGGTAAATTTGATACTTCTGCTGATTCAAATTGCGTTGGCTCCTCATCACCAGCGAGGTCATCGCCACCGGCGAACTGTGAGCCATTTGGATGCGACGGAACGAGGTGCGATTGCCGCGCACCGGCGGTGGGATCGATCGCTTCACTAGCGAGCGGATCACCGCTTCCGTTTCCGGTCGCTGGCCAACCACTTCCGGTGCGCTCTTGACCAGCGAGCTCAGCGCACTGCTCACCGGCAGCGGCAGCCGTGAGCGGTACAGCGAACAGCAGCGGTTCGCCGATCGGCCGGCACTCCGCGAGCGACAAATCCGGGAATTCGGGCCATGCAGCGCCGTCAGCGAATGTTTCACACGCTGCGGAATCTTCGACTTCAGGCTGGATGCCATCCTTTTTACGGGCTTTCTACGTATTTTTCTCTCTCAGCTCGGACTCGGGCTCGATTTCGGCTTGTCAGTGTGTTTGTTTGTGTGGCCTGAACTTTCACCCCATGGCGGCTCGATCAAGGAGAACAAATAGCAACCAGCATCGGAGTTACAATTTTTGGATAGTATAGTTGGTAAAACTATAGTATGTATATATAAAAAGCCATTTCCTTTAACTGGTTATATTTTAATAAATTGAATAGCATACTAGCATATTTTAATATACTATCAAAAAATAATAATACCATAAAGCAATAATAAACGGTAGCTTAATGTTTTCCAAATTCAAATATTATATTTATAGCTTAATATCTTATTTATGATTTTAAGCTTTTGTTCGATTTATAATACAATCTGTATACATTAATTAACATTTGCACACAGTTGCAAATAAATGAATGATTTACCCAACATTGCTTTACCTCAAATTACCTCAAAATGCTTTTTAATGAAATTTACAAGCTATGCCGATAGCAACGTTTCGACTCTACAATTGCTAAAAAAAAAAAAGTTAAACATTTTTGCCTATTCGCTTTCTGCTGAATTTAGTTGCCTTCGGGGCTTTGACTATAATATTTAGCCAGCATGTTAATCACTATTGATTAAATAAGTATGGGGAATTAGGGAGAAACGTACATCAGCGAACAAATAGTCAAACGAATCCCTAAACAAACAGTTTGGCATTCCTTTGCGGCAGTTTTTGAAAAAAGGACGAGCTTGGTCACCGTGTGACCCCAATTAAATGCAGTTCCAAACGGTTTTCCCAGCCATCCTTTGGGATTTGTTTGTGCCCCTCGGTGTGTGTATGTGTTTGTGTGTGTATTTGTATTTGTGTTTGTGTGAGGAGCACATTAAAAAGTAATTTAAATTGAATTTCTCGACGCGCCCGACGGGGATCAGGAATGGGTTTGGAATCGAGATTGGAATAAAGTCGCACAGTGGTAGGCACTGCCTTATTGTAATTAGAGCGCTGGGACAATAAATCTCAATATAGAGCAATCCGTCCGTTCAGTTCCGTTTCAATTCCATTTGCCAGTTGCCGGGTGCGTGGATTTAAATTGCAGTGGCAGAAGCGAAAGGAAAGTGAGGGGGAGAGTGGCGGGGAAAGTAAAGAAGCACCATGGCAATGCATAAATCTAGCTCTATTCCCTTGTATATCCTGGACAATCAAGGAAGGTGTGCTGTCTACACAGGAAAAAATATTCAATCAGATAATTTGATATTAAATCATGGAATGCTTTTTCGAAAATATTTATTTAAAATATTTCTTCAATTGAAAATAAATAAATACCACTGAAATCAATCATGATTCGCTTTTACTTAACCAAGATTAACACCATTTTTATACACATTTTAAACAGATTATTTTATTGAGATATACAATTTTGAATTGATTGCTTCACAACCACAAAATGATGGCAGTTTGATAAGAGCACTCTACATAATTGTGTTTCGATGGTTTTTTTTTACACTTTTCTCCAGGTGCATAAAGCACAAACTAAACGATAAAAACTGAGAGGGAAATCGGGGGAAAAGCGGCAGGTGGCGGGGAAAGCGGATTCGTAGTCGCAGGAATTAGCTCAAAATTGCAAAACTTAAGCCAAATGCTGGCGCGGAAAAGGAGGAAAAAAGGCGAAACGGAATCGCTGCAAAAGAAAAGCACAATGGAGGAAAAGGGGGTAAAAGGGGGTGAAGGATGAGGAGGGGGAAACAACAGGGGAGGCAGGTGAAAAAAGGGAAAATCAAAACCACGAACCAGACGAAGGAAGGTGGCTCATTCTTTGTTTTATGCCATCTACATAATAGATGGCCCAAGGAAGTAATAGACAGAGACGGCACGAGAGGGAAGAGCGAGTGAGAGAGACGGCTAGCAACGGAAACAAGTCAATTTGCATTCCGGCTTAAACGAACATCGCCGGGTTAGTTAATGTTGCAAAAAAGTTTGCCAAAAAAATATATATATAAAGAAGGGCAACGAGAAAGTCGGAAAGGGAATTTCGGTTGCATCAGCAATTGCAAATTAAACGCGAGAAAAAAAAGTCGGGCCAATCATTATCGCTTGTGTTCGCTGTCCAAACTTATTTTATTGTTTCAAAATTAGTTTAGCCCCCGAACGCCCGAACACTAATCAATCAACTTACGAGAAAAGTTCGATTAACTTTCGCCTGGACTTTGCCCGGTGGCAATTAACCTTAACTTTGTTAATAAAATGAACAACAAAACATGGAGCCCTGGGTCAACCGGAGTATTAAGTGAAACCAAAGCAGTTTCGGGTCAATTCCAGGTCATTTTACGGAAAATACATTAAAGTATGAAATAAAAATATCAATTAAAGCCAGAAAAGCTCTGGTATATAGGTAATTACGTTTATTTTTATTCGATTTAGACCATACATACAAAGATTTAATTAAATTAATTACCCAAAATCGCATCTTGTTTAATTCCCACAAAGAGAAATATAATATTATTCACAGACTTCACCATGAAATAAATTCAATGGCAAACTGTAAATCGATGAACAAAAGTCAAACATCGGCGCAGAATTATTATGTTTGTTGAAATACCAATGCAAGTCCCTCGGCGAACTAAGAATAAACTGCAAAACTCATTAAAATGCAGCTAAACAAAAAGCCGAATGCCGAATAAATAAATATTATTGACTTTGGTTTATTGCTTTCGGTTGTGTAACTGGCAGGGCTATTATAAAATTAATTAAATTACACACTTGCACGCACACCACCATGTTCAAATGGCAGAAAGAAACATACAGATATGGATACAGATAGCGATGATATCGGGACTGTCCACCGATGTTAATTGTAAAACCATAATTTCCGTATGCCAGTGCAATAAGTATGCATTGTGATTTTTTGGCACTGTCTGCACTCGAAATGTAATTTATTTTCCACTCTTTCCCTCTGTCGCATTTTGTCGTTTAATTGTAATAATTGTGCACTAATTGATCGGCATGCAAATGCATGTCAAACAACTGCGAATTTACACGGAATGTATCGCAAACAAACAAAAGTTCAATTAACTAAGAGCGGACAATTATATCTACCTAATACGTATGTGCAATGCATTGGGCCGTAGAACTTTCCGATTTAATTACGGCTTACGTTGACACGAGTGCATATTTTCCATGGCAGATTTCCCGTTTTATTTGTCAATCTCCTATATCCACATTTTAAAACAGAATCCGGTGTTTATTAATACATAATAAGGTTATTATTAAGCTCTGTCAATTAATTGAAAAAACTTTGTCAAATCGCGTAACATAATTAATCTTCAGAGAAAATGCATTCATTAAATAGTTTCAAGTGAATAGGGAATCATAATAAGCATACAAACTAGTTATATTAGTGTGTAACAAAAAAGAATTATCAATGATAAACAAGGAATTATAGTACTAATCTATTATTATAAATTTTTCATATATAAAATATTCTACCAATTAGAAAATATGAAAATTTAGTATTATACCATATTTGCATTCACTTTTTTATATGTTTGTTACAAAAGAAGCATTTTTAATGTTGAACAAAAAATTATAGTAAATTATTATAAATTTACTTTCACTTAAAAACATTAATGAAGAAAAATTCTTAGTATTATATTACTATTGTTAGGTAATTTTTTTCTCCGCTGTTTAATATATTTCTTACAAAGACGCATTGTTAATGATAAGCGAGATATAAAAGTATAGCATTACTTCTGTTAATTTAGTTTCCCGACACTTTGTAATATATTTGCATTGCTTATGCCATTGATTTCCACATCTTTTTATGGTTAGCAAATATTTTAGGGCTTTGTTCGATCCACTGGGCACTGAAAGCGAAGAAAGCCACGCAGCCAGAGGGGTAAACTCCGGCTAAGCCCCCAAAAGGGTTCGGGCCAATCCTTTCGAGTGAATTCCATTGGCCCCAAGGTAAACATGGGCCATGGCTAATAGTGTGAAAACAAAACAAAGAAACAAGCGAAAGGAAACGTAACGAAAACGAAGAGAAGCGTAAGGAAATGGTGGGGAAAAATGGGAAGGCTGGCTAAAATAACGTAAAATGCTAAGGTAAACAAACATTTATAAATAATGAACATTGATTGCTTATTTGAACAAAACGAAGGCGGACATGGATACATGGCAACAACTACGGTTACGCATTCACGTTCAAGGATAATGGATAAAGGATAAAGGCTAAAGGACGAAGAACGAACAAGAAGGCGGAAGGCGATGGACTGCACTCCATAAATGTAATTGCGAATGTGAATGGGTGTCTAATCATTATGGTCTGCAGAGGGCAAACTCATCATGGTCCTAATTGATTTGGGTGTGTGTAACAATCGGGCGGCGATATATACATACATAGGTATATTCGGACGGTACAGGAAATTCGATTGAAATCGAGAAGAGGCAGCAAACTGCCAAATTTCCACAGGAGAAGATTAGAATTTTAGGCTAACAGGTATTTTAAATTAACAACCAAAGAGTTCAGTAAACTGAAGCTGTAATTAAAATTGTGGGAGTATATTATACTATAATGTGTAAAAATAAAAATAAAAAACTTTTTTGTACCAATGCTGTTTTTCAGCCAGTTGCAGAGTTTTATTTTCAATTTTGAGCCATAAGATGACCCATTAAATGAATAAAATGCTACCTGCTCCATTATTTAGATGCTAGCTGGTGTAAAAATGATATCCCTAACATCGGAGAGAGCTTAGGCGGCCATTAGGTCACTTTCTCCGCCTGGGAGAAAGGAAAGCTGCCGAGGTGTTTGCTCCATTACTCCATATCTCCATGTGTCTCGTCGTTATCCTTGCTCGGCCGCCATCGAGCTGGGTTTATGGCTTTCAATTTGAGTGTTTCCCGGAGACTCTCTGTCATGCATACGTCCAAGGTGCTTAATAATTTAGACGCACACGCCCAGCAAAACGCATACAGCTGCATGTGAACGTGCACGTGCATGCGAGCGAAAGCCTTTCTCCACCCACACAATCAATGCCATTATGCGTGCGTGTTAGTG